AATGCGAATAAAGATAATGTTACCATGCTCAGGCTCATTATACTCATAAAGATTGTTAGGGATATGGGAATTGTATGGGGAAATTAAATGGGGGATGTTAACAGACACCTAATTTATGTGAGGAAATATTGCAGGACTAGTTTTGTGAATTCACCTATAATAAAGAAAGGTGCATTTGGGTCAAAGGCGTATGCGAATCATTAGAATGTAAGAAATTGAAATTGCCAACCTATAATAATCATAAAGCATGCTAAAAGGAAAGTTCATATTGCACTTTTAATTTAAACTCTTTAGGTTGTACAGAGTATCTATGTGAAAATGTTTTAGAGATAGAAGATTGTACAATTGATTCAAATGGTTAAATTCGCACATAGAATTAAGGATGCATAGAGAAGAAATGTATGACTGCTCATCCAACTTTGGATAATAACTCTAAATGTGAAGGGTGGATGCCAAAATGTACAGTTAATGTATAAGTTTTGTCAAATTAAAAAATCTTGATTGGATGCGTAGATAAAAGAAGTATTTGTGAACTTGCAGTTCAAGAACAATGTTAATCAACACTTTCAGAACATATGTGTAAATGGAATGGAAGTAGTTAAAAATGTATTAATCAACTTTGTTAAGATGCCAGTCCATGTTTGTATTTAACAAACGAAGATTGCAAATAATTTAAGGTGTTATCTGGACCTTGCATTATTGGACCTTCTGGAGTTGGATGTTACTAATGGCCCACTAATTGTACTGAAATTAAAAGTCAATAACAGTGTTAATTGAATATACAAAATGGAACAAAGTGTTTTTGGACTGGTACTTATTTATAACTATATAGATTAATAATTTTATTATAAGCAATAAGAATGTCAGATGCTCTGAAACTTTATTACACCAATAATGTTTAATGTAACAATTGGTCTAGTAATTGTATTTTTGACCATTCTCTGGGTGGATGCATAGATAGAATTAATTAAGTTGCTTGTTCATCTTCTCTAAATGTTGTTATGTATAACAATCATGTAGAATGTTATGCAAGGAATCAAAATTGTACTGTGGTTTCTGATTTTAATCCTGAAGGATGTGAAAGGAAAAAAGAAACATGTTATGAGTACATCAAGCGAAGAAATTGTAAGACAACTCTAATTGGCTAATTGTGTTATTGGGATGATTAAGAACAAAAGTGCATGAACGAGGATGAAGATAATAATGGAGTTGTTGATTGTCATAAGAGACTTTATGGAGAACTAACTCATCAGGATTGCGAGGACTTCATGTCTAAATACACATTAAATTAGATTGCTTTTTCCTGTAGAACACTTTCAGATTATTGCGATTATAAATATCAATAATAGTGTATAATTAATTCCTATTAATAACCTTGCAAATGGAATGATTTGAAATAAATATGTGAAGATGTAGTGAATCAAAATAATACAACATCTTAAACGGAGTCTGAATGTTTAATGTTCAGACAGAATAATGAATGCCAATTAAAAATTAATTCTGATGGGACTTACGGGCCTGGATGCGAAAATAGACCCAAAAGTTGTTAAGAAATTACTGATCCTGTAATATGTAAGTTAACTCTAACTACTTAAAATGAAAAATGCTATTTTCATAGTTCCTTCTGCATGGTAATATAGTTTCGATATACTTAACACAGTATAATATCAAAATATTGTGAACAAATTACTGAAAGTCAAAGTCATGAGTTTTGTTAATTATATAATCCCAATTGTGTTCTTTAATCAAGTGGATAAGGATGCTATTCTATTTATGAGCGTGGTGATTTGACGAGTAGCGTTTGCAACAATGCAATTATGAGAAGTAATTCTAGATGCAGCTTTTTGCAGGGATGTTTTCGTAATATTCAATGTTCTGATAAAATACATGCTGACAATTGTTTCCGGAAAACATTTTTTGAATAATAATGTGAATTAACGAGGGATTGTCTTCATTGTGAAGACATTTGAACTCTAGTCCAAAAGTACATCTTTGTAAGTTTAACTCCTTTAGACACCACTTTCGACGGTTTGAAATAATGTAATGATATTTCAAAATCACTCATCTATAATACAGAGTGTCACTGCTGTTAGTTAATTTTTTCTTGTGACTTTGCCCCATAATCGCTTTGTAATTAATCAACGGATTACTTTGGAAAATAATGTCAATATAATTAATAGTCTAATGTTTGCGGATACAGAGAATGCGAACAATTAACATCCGATTAAGGCATTTCAGAATTAATTTGCTATTAGTGGAAGAGTGAATGTGTTTTAGGTGCTACTAGTTGTATCAGTTACAACAATGATTGTACAAAAATTGGTCTTATTTAACAATGTTATTCATATTCATGCTATTGGTAAGATGGTAAATGTGTTTCTTATGTTAATTGTGGTCTTAACACAACTGCAATAACGAATCGGGAATGCTTATTAAGTAATAGCACATTTTGTAGATTTAATTATACTAAAGGCTTAGGATGTGCTTTTATAAGTTGTGATCAAATTAAAAACGAAGCAATATGTAGTTCTTCAAAAGTTGCTAAAGGTGTGAAATGTTAATGGGTCAGTTCCTAATGCACACCCATGGAGTGTTATGATTATATTATATAATCCGATTGTGAAACCAGTTATGGCTTTTATCCCTAGAATGCCCGAAAATGTTATTGGTGTTCAATTAATTCCCCTCAATGTACTTAGAATGCATACTGCAATTTAAGTATGATGACTTCACCTAAATCACATTAAGATTGCTACAGTAATGATGTCTTATAAACAATCAACTTTATAATAAACCCAAAGTGCATAGTCAAGTAATAATAATGCTCAGATTACAAATATTAAGAGGCTTGCGTAAGTACGATAGATGGTATAGTCTGTTATTGGTATTCTAATGCATGTATATGGTATTATGAAGCTGCGGTTTAATTAATAATCACCTATACACATTCATCATCCATAGTTGGAAGGATTCTTATATGTCATTAGATAACTTAGGATGTCAGCCTCTAGATTGCTCATAGTTAACAATATTGTCAGATTGCTCTATTTTTACTACAAACTGTTTTTGGGATGGCTAAAATTGTTAAATTATTATGGAATGTAACAAGTACTCTAATGGCACTTTGTGTTTAAATACTAGCAATTCATAAGGAATTCCATGCTTTTGGGATGGTACTAAATGTATAGAAAAAACATGTTCAAATAAGCCAACTCCTTCAATTAGCCAAGCCGAATGTAATAGTTGGTTGATTAACTGTTAATATAATAGCAATAATAATAGATGCTTAGAAGATTGCACTTAAGCTGATATTTCAAATAAAACTCATTAACTATGCGGATCCTATTATTTAAATAAAAGTTGCACTGTCAAATTAGATATAATTCAATGTGTAGACCTTCCAATTGCTTGTTCTTTTGCAAAGAAAACTTAATGTTATAAAGATTAATCTGGAAATGAATGCTTCTATTAAGAATCATAAAACAAGTGTGTTAATTTAACATGTTCCATTTTATAATTCACAACACATGAAAAGTGTAACTAAAAATTAAATTCTTGTACAGTTAATTCAACTTTAGATGGATGTCAATAATTAAATGTTTGTGGTAGTTATTCAATAAAAGAATAATGCTAAATCGATTCAAATAATGTAGAATGTTAATGGATGATGAATTAAAATAAATGTACAATTAAGGAGGGCTCAACTGCACAATTACTTATATATTCAGTTCATAATTGTGATTAATATTTTGGAAAATCTTGTACTGTAAATGAAAATTTGGATGAATGCATGACTGGTCAATCTTTGTGCATGAACTACTCATATCATCAATGCAAAAGTTAAGGGCAAATGAATTTAGGTGGAGTAGAATGTTTCTGGAATGATGAGAAGAATATTTGTTTAGAGAGGATTTGTGAAAATGGGCCTTCACTTGCCAAAACTAATTCTGATTGTATCGGATTTCTCTCTACATGTTAAATAGGTGGGTGCCGAATAAAAGATTGCTTTGATTATAATTATACAATAGATTCGGCTTGTGCTTCAATATTCAAAAGCAAAAAATGTGTGACAAATGGTTATTAATGTGTTTTTAGAATGGCTTGTGAGGATGTTAGTGTTATTGATGGTTGTACATTTGATATCAATCTCAATCCTTGTGTCTGGATTGATGAGAAATGTTATACAAAATCTTGTAAAACTGCATCAAATTCTTTGATAAAACATTATGAATGCAATGCTTACTTTCCAACTTGCACAGTTAAATAAGGAGGAGGATGTGCTAATAAACAAATTTGTCAAAATTATTAAATAAAAGAGGCTTGCAAAATTGATAGTGAAAACGGTGAATGCATATGGGATGATTATCTAAATTAATGCTTTTCCAATCAATGTATGGATTTCTGTGGAGATGGTATTGTATCAAGTATAGAAGAAGAAAGTGATGATGGCAATTATTTACCTTATGATGGCTGTTATAAATGCCAAGTGTAATGCCCATAAGGATGTAATATTTGCACTGGTTTGATATGTGAAGATTGTCAAAAAAAGGGATGGTTATTGATTAATGGCCAGTGTATTTCAATATGTGGGGACGGTCATACAGCTGGAAAAGAATTCTGTGATGATGGAAATGATATTGAATTTGATGGATGTTATTAATGTTCCTAATCTTGTCACTAAAAATGCCTTAATTGCTTCTAAGGACTATGTTTACAATGTGAGAATGGATACATAGAAGATGGGTCATAATGTCATAATATTTGTGGGGATGGTGTCCTTATTGAGCCATTAGAAAAATGTGACGACGGAAATAGTAAGGATAATGATGGATGCAGTGATACTTGTTAAGTCGAATAAAATTGGAAATGCTAATAAGAAAATAATATTAGTTTATGTAGCTATATTATTCAACCAAAGATTGTACTAACTAAACTCAAAAAACAAACAATGATTATGAAGAGTTCCTATTATAATTTTCTGAGCATGTACGTTTGAACGTAAACAACATTAGCGAGGAACAATTTCTTCAAATGATTATTGTTGTTATTGAAAATGCCAAAGATAACTAATATGATGTTGAAATTAAACCCCTGATATCTATTTCTTCTATATTGACTGAAGTATCCTATAAGATATTAGTCTATTTTAAAATTAAGATTTCAAATCCAGTGTTAAAAGTGACAGTCAGATGTGAAAATATTGTAAATGATAAAGACAATACTTTACTCTCTGATGAAATAAAGTTAGAATTACCAACTCCTAACAAAATGTCAAATGATGGATAATCCTTTATTTCGAAAACAGCTCTGCTAAGTAGAATTGTTATGTATACCATCTTGATTATAAGTGGCATTGCTTTTTTGGCTGGCAATTTAGAAATTATATGGTATCTCCTTGATATGCTGCAATAATTATCATATATGAAATTTTACAACCTTCAATTCCCAGAAAACTTGTAAATCTATTTTGAAATTTTTAACATTGGTTAACTGACTCCGATAACAAATACGATATAAATAAATGTACTTTTAAAGAGTGTTTTTGATTTCTAAATCCCAATCATACCAGCGAAATAGAAATTTGCATAATATTAAATCAATTGCTATTTTTTGGACAATTTGTAATCTATAGTCGCTTTAATTATAATTGGATTTGTTTATTATTATCTCTCATATTACTTTTATAAATTCATTGTTCTATTTTAATAATAAAAATGGGCAGGTATTTTTTATTAAAGTGAGTCTAAAATTATAATTAAAATTGTCAGATTGATTTTTTAGTTTTAGAAATTAGCAAGAAAATACTATCAATATTTCATTTACTCTGGATTAATCAGAATTTTTACATCTAACTTTTATGAGTTAGCCTTTGCATCTATTTTATAAATTGTTAATTACAATACCGAAACTTCTATAAATGCAACCATCTCATTAATTGCTCTAATTAAAATGCAAGTGAATCTATTCCTAATAGTGTTCTTTTTTTATTCTCTAAACAAAAAAGACATAGTGCCTCAGAAATTATCAGCTTTAGTGGAAGGAATTAATAATACTGTCCAATAAGGAACGAAGTAATATTTTACTATATTGCTGATCAAAAAAACATTATTCATTATTAATTTAGTTGTATTTTAAGACCTTTTTGCTGTTTAGAGTATAATTACAGCATGTTTATCAAGAGTATTCTCTTGTTATATTTATATTCATAAACCATTTTGGAGCAATTTCGAAAATATGAAAATATTCTTCACAGAAATTATGATTATGATTAATGCAATTATCTTTTCTATTTACGATATTATCAAATTTAATTCAAACAAAGACTCAGCTGATGTTTTAGGTTGGATTAATGTAAGTGGTTTCACAATTATTCTGATTGTGACTTTAGCTATTGATATTTATCAACAATTAAATAAGTATATATCGTGATGTATACAATGTGTTGGAATTAAATAGGACTAAATTATAAGAAAATAAAAGTCAATCTTTACGGTAGTATGATTATTAATAATTTATTGTTATTTTTTTAATATGTTGAATTACTTGAATCCAATTATTTTTTTCCAATTTCATTATTTCATTAAGTATGTTTCCATTTGATAAGTTTTATTTAAAATATTTTGACTTTATATATTTATAATCTCATCATTTTTGGAATATAATTTGATCAGAAAAGTCTGAAGTTCTGGTAGAATAATCATAAGAATTCATCAATAATTCTAAGGCAGAGATAACCCATTATTACTTTTGACTCAGTGATGAATTATCAAATTTAGCAAAATTTGTTAATAATGCAAATCATCCCTTCTAAAAAAGAATTAATTCTTATAAATGAGTTTGGTAGTGCCTACATGTCTACGTCTTTTCTAAAGAAAACGACAGTTCCAAGTAAATAGGGGTCCGTCTAACTGGTTCCGAAACGTAGGTTTGCTATTTTTGTTGAAAAGAATAGGCCCCATTGACAAATCTTTTCAGTAGAATTTTGCCATGATTTTGGAAAAGTAAAAAGAATAAATATGAAACGGGTTACACAGGTAATAATTAGATAGTCAAATCAATCAAAATTAGTTATTATATAAAGTATAAATAATCATTAAGATATTTAAATTGTTTATGTAATGGAAGATGATACTTACCAAGAAAGAATATAGAAAGATGTTGTTAAATTGTAGTATTATGATATTAAAACTTGATCAAACGTAATCTTTTGATCATAGAATGATTATTAGCGAAAAGTTTGGGGCAGATTCTTTTTGAAAGATTTCATCAACCCTTCAAAAGTAAAAGAATACGTTAAAAGCAAATTGATTTTAAAAAGAAAATTCATTAGAAATACATTATTTGATTTTAAATGCATTTATTAGTTTAAGAGTTATTCTAGTTAATTCAAAGATTAATTCTCAAATTTAGACTTGCTATTAATGAATTTTATTTAATCTTTTTTTTACTAAGGCATCGGAATGATATTGTGTCTCATATTTATTCATTGTATTTATGATAGTATCAATCATTTAGCTATGCTTTTGAGCATTAAGTCTATAAATGATTGTTATTGTAATATTCAAAAGGGCAAATATGAATCTGAATTTGGCGATAATTAATACAAGCAAGATGAAGGGCAAACTGAAACAGCAAAGACAAATATTACATTTAGTAACATTAGGCGTATATGAATTCAAACTTGAAGTAGAACTAACCAAAATTAAGGAGGGATTATAATATAACAAGAAATACTATTTTCCCTATTTTTAATCTACTCATATGCAACATTTGTGTTTACAACTTATGACAAACTTAGTAAAAATATTCATAATATTTAACGCTTATCTGCTTGAATGGGCTATAAACATTTTAATAACTTGGGTGTAAGAGTTTAGCCCTCAAGCTATAAAATATCGTAATCTTGATTTTGATTGGATGGTATAGGAGAGGAAAAATAAAAAGAAAAATTTACATGAAACAATAGTAACATGTAAATTCCAAAGTATTATTTAGCTAAGAAATGCTATATAATTTATATATGTCAATTTTGCATAAGTCGCACATAATGATAATTTGGTTAAGTAAATATACTTAAGACTGCTCGATTTGCCAAACATCATGATCTTCAATTTTGAGTTTTAAGCTAATTTCTTTGCAGTTCCAGATTAGAAATTTGCATGAATACAGCTCACAATTTATTTCATTAAGTCAGCCAGAAAGAAGATGTATATGAGTATCAAGAGTTTAATTTAGGTCAATATTATTAAAGAAGTACATAGACGAAAAAATTCAAAGAAAAATAACTTATGTTTCAATGCTATAATATTATTGATTATGCATCAACTCCGTTTTTATGTAATAG